AAAAAAAAAAAAAAAAAAAAAAAAAAAAAAAAAAAAAAATATATATATATATATGTAAAGCAAGAGCGACAGCAGTGACATTTTTAAGAACTCCACATGTGTTACAGTGACCGAGGAACTCGCTGGTCAAGAATGTGGTTAGAAAGCTTAAGAAGGAACTCCCGAGCTTAGCCCCTGCCCAGTGAGCACCATTTCTTGTCATCCTAAGATGACAAGACATCCTAAGTGTACAGGAGGTGTCGAGTAGCTGCTACACCAGCACTAAAGCGGGCCTTACCTTTTGAACCTCAATGATTTCTTTTCCCAAATTAATAGCATAGCATATCTGCAAAAGACAAGAAAAGTGGTTTTGGCAAAGGCAGAGAAGGACGACAAATTTTAGGAAAAACACTATTGTGGAAGTTCAGCGAGGTCACTGCTCATGTCAACATGAACGTCCACCTGTCCCTGGTGTGCTGTTGCCATCTTGTGCTTACAACAAAACAGGTCAGTGGAGACCGGTTATCTGGCGTTTGAAATGCCTAATGGGATGCTTGTCCCCTTTCCTCGGTGACCGTGTTTAGCGGCAAACAGGCGCTTGCTGAAGGGCTGGCCGATTCTGACTGATCTAAGCAGGGTGCGTCGCTAAGCCTTTCGCCTGCGGGACAGACTCGGTTCAGTGTACTGCCTTCGTGGCTGCTTCCTTGGTTTCTCTTCAAGATGAGATTTTCTCCATTGTAACTTTTGCTTTGAGGGAAACTGCTTTTAACATTTACTGACAGTTCTATAAACAATTATATCTCACCATTCAAGTTCTTCATTCACTCTGTTTTGGTTAATAAGTATTTTCCAAAGGGAAATTCTACTTCTAGGTGGTTCTGTTTAGTGGGGCCTTCCTAGGAGGTATTATTGCCTACACTCCTCGTTGGGGTCCTAAAGAGCAATCAACTAACCACCCAGGAGGGTGCAAAAGACCCCTTTAAATATCTTTGCACTGAGATACTATGGAATCTTAAGATGAGAAAAATAAGACCTTTTCGCCTTCTGAGTTGCTTTCAAAGACATATGTGCTCAGAGACTCTCCGCCTGTGGATTCAGGCAAGCGGACCACAAAGCCAACCAGCCTCTTGTTTTCTTGATGAGCAGCGAACTGGGTGACACTGGTGAGCTCAAACTGGAAAAAAATAGGAATAGACTGAGTATCACACGACAAACTGGAATTAAACAACAGACAAGGTCATTCTCCATGGAAAGTCACAAAAAAGTGCACTATTAGTGATAGTCATTTAATTTGTGTTTAAGGTGGTTACAAAGATGAATGAAGGAGTATCACTAAAATTGGCAAGTGTGAGGATACTTACATTGGCTCTGGATACTTGAGTCTGAGGATCTATTAGCCTGAAATTTTAAGAGATACATTATATCACAAATGTTGGATAACTTACTCTTAGAAGAGCTTGTGGGCTCTCTGCACTTTTTTTTGTTGTTGATTGTGTTCTTTGATGCACTAGTGTGTTCCAGTGCTTTCCCATGTTTCTACTCTGATCTTTTTGGTGGAGATTATAAGAGCAATGAGCCAATGTCTATAAAAAATTCAGGACATACTTGGAAAAAAGGTGTAAATAAGTATAAGGTTTTATTCATAAGGACCCAGTTCTCAGTATAACAAGGTTTATAACATGAAAAGGACTGATTTTAATGAATGGAAGAATTGATATTCTGATTTTTGCCAAAGACTTAGTTAACTTTTTTTAAGCTAACATTCATTGAGCACTTTCTATGTGCCAGTCACAGTTGTAATGTTTTACATGTTTTAACTTAATGTATTCCTCATGACAACACTAGGAGGTGTAGATACAGTTATTTTCATTGTATAGCTGAAGAAACCAAAGCACAGGGTTTCAATAACTTGCCCAAGGTCATACAACTAATAAATGTCAAAGCCAGAAATAAACATAAACATTTTGGCTCCAATGTGATGTTGCTGTCCTATAGAAATAGAATGTAAGCCACATAAATTTTTCTAGCAGCCACATTTTAAAAAAGTGAAACAGGTAAAATCTAAAATATTAAATTATTAATAAGATATTTTGTATTCTTTATCAGGTCAGGACGAGATCTTAGAGATTTGGTATATCCTGCACTTGACACAACACATCTCAGTTCAGGCTGGCTGTGCTTCAGGTGCTACATGCAGCTACAGAACTGCAGTCTACTCCTAAAGCCTATGCTAACCTGTCCTGACAGGCGTTTGCCATCGGTCATCAAGATCCTACTACCTAAACCCCTAAATCATGTAGTTAAATTTCTTGGCGTCTTTATTTTCAGTCCAACAAATATTGATCAGATTTTCCTTGTAGTGATCTAGTCATCTCAGAAGACTTATGTCCTGTATTCACTGTTGATTTTTATAAGCAGTACTCTCAGAAATGACAAATATATATATACCTTCCATTTTCAAGTTCTGAGATACAGAGAGTAATTCTCAAGTGACAGCAACCTTATGAACAGGATTCACTTGCCACTAGATTCCTAGATCCCACTGCGGGAGCATCTTCTATCTGGTGCAGCGTATGAAGTGGAAATGGAAAAAGGAAAAGCACAGAAATGAGGAGCACCTTCCCTTAGTCCAATCCAGCATTCTAGTCACCAGTGCTTGGGTGGGAAATGTGCCTTAACGGGGAATCCGATGAAGCTACAAGAAAGAGTGAAACCCAGTGTACCTCAGCGCCTGGCTGGTGACCATCAGATGGGATTCTGTCATTCGGAAGATGTTATGAATAGCCCGTGCCGCCAGCACTTGTCTCATCGCCTCATAAATCACTTCGGTAGTGTTGTCTGTTTTAACTGCCATCGATCCCAAAAACCGAACTATAAACATCTGTTGTAAAAGAGAATCTGCAAGAGAGCAGTTTCACTCAGGATCACTCACGTCCTGCCTGCTGCTGATCTGCACCCACCCAGCGTCACACGTGTAGGTCTGAGAACTGCCTCCAGACTCGGGTTTGGTCAGCTTTCTAGAGAGCTCTCTACCCCGACCTCAGTGCTCCGCTTTCACCAACCGCACGCAAGCTGCCGGAGCTCTGGATCTCCTGTCGTCTGTGTTTTGTCTGTTGCAAACTACCTCCTTAGACTAGAAGAGACCCACTTTTTTTTCATCTATAAAACAAGACAGTGAGTACACGTCTTACTTTGGCCCACTGATTAAGTCTCTTACAAAAGGACTCATTTGTAAGATTTTGAGTCCTGCTCATTTGTGATTGAAGGGCAGTGATGAGATGTGATCCACAAGTGGATGAAGATCTCTGAGTTTGCTTATTTGATTCTACTGAACTCCCAGTGCTGGCTTGATGAAGGCATACGACCTGACAAAACTGAATGACAGCAAGTAACTGGGAGACCATGAAGACGGTTTAAAAGATCTTTCTATAATAATAATTCATGTACCTACCATTTTAAACTAAGCCTTTTTGCTCACTAGCCCCTAAAAGTAATGAGTTAAAAATGTATTAGAATACAGGTGATAAAATGTCATAAATGGTTACTCCCATATGAAGCATTTTTACAGGTTTGAAAGTTTCCTCTAGACTGTTTACAAATGGACTGCATGAAAAGTCAGCTGGACATAAGTGGAGAGTCAGATTGGAGGCTTTTTTTTTTTTTTTTGCCTAAAGCTGTAAGAAGCACCAATTCTGCAGCCGTCCTTTTACACGTAAGGAAGGGCACTTCATTCCGATGGCCTTCTCAGGCTCGTCTGCAGCTGGGTTAGGAGGAGGTCTGGCCAGCACCTCCAGCCACTCACTCCCTTGGCCGGGAAATCAAGTCCTGCTCTGTGGAGCAGGGGCTTACGGTCAGCTCTACGGAATACGTTCTCAGGTATATAAGGATGTAAATCGAACAAAGATACGAATTTAAGCCAACAACCTTCCTGTGACCTTCAAAGTCAAGAATGAGTCATTTGGCGACTTTCTATGCAGTGGCTACGAAAAGTATGGGTGTGGCTGGTGGGGCAACAGGTGTGAGAAGCTGTCCGCTTCCCCTCCATCTTTATCCAAGTCCTAATGACTTCTCAGAAAACAAGTCTGTGGGTGATAATTTCAGTCCATCTTTCTAGTCACAGCTACTAGAACAGGACTTGACACCTTACTGCGCTGGCCCCGGTCATTCTGTGCAGGGGAAATAATCACACCGAACGCACCACTTACCTTCTGTTTCTGGAAATGTGTCATCCTCTGTCTCACCAAAAGGGTTCATACGCCTAGGGAGAGCCAGAGTCAGACAGTCACTACAGCTCAGCTAAAAGGACACGAGATATGTCAAATTTATTTTCATTTCTCCCGAGGTGAAGCAGGTGCGTACCTGCTTCCTCTGTTCTGATCGAGGAATTCTGTAGCGGGAAGTACAATATCAAACTGAATGGGTGTTCCAGGTGCAATTAGTTCTTCAGCTTCAGGTACACTGACTGTTGCTTTGGGAACAATCTTGTCACTTTCCATCTCTGAATTTTCCAGCTTCTGGCTGGAGTACAGTATAAGGTAGGAGGGGAAAAACATATCCCTTTTAATGCCTTTACAATCCAATGACTATGTGTTGAATGCTGTTGGAGCCTTCAATCAGGCCTTCCAGCCATTCTACAAATAAACATTCTATGAGCATGAAAATGCTCACCGTAAATGGTAACAGCAAACAGTGGAAGGGGTAGCAACCTAAATACTCCATAGCTAATGGTAAGTGAAGAAATAGTGTGTGGCTATTAAAAGGGACAACAAAAATGTAAAAACATGAAAAATGTGTGTAAAGAGGCAAAATAAGTGCATGTGAAAAGATCAACATATTGTAGGCAAACCTGGGCAGTAACATGGACACACATGAAGCGATTTTGTTGCTTATTTTTAAAATGTGTGTTTCGGTTCCATAACTTTGTTGATGCTGCTAGAAAGTGTGGGGGGCCTCCCGACCAGCAGGGCCCTCGACACGAGTCCTGTGTGCTCAGGCTGCAGCAGCACAGCCACGGGAAGGACGGGCTGTCTGCGCGAAGGTCGGAATCCCGGCCCTGCCCCTGGTCCGAGCTGTGAACGGGACCCTTCCTGACCAGTCACTGCTTCTGCAAACGGGCTGCACAGCACTCAGGGCTGTGAGGATGGAAGTCCCCTGCGTAGCTGGGCTCCACAACAGCCAGCTCTCCTCTGTCCTTTTGTTACCTGGGGCATGAGCTTTCTTGTTTCTTTCTGAGGCTTGTAATGGGAGTCACTGCTTGGAGAGCCGTCTCATTCAGCTTGATGGCGACGGCCTGAAAGCCCACAGGAAGACAGGCTCAGTCCCAGGAGGCGACGCTTACCTTCCAGGTTGGGAGGGGTGAGGTGCGGGAGGCGGCAGTGCGTTACCTCGGGGTTGTCGGTCAGGTAGATCTGCCTGGAGATGTTGTTTATCGCACAGATCCACTGTGGAGGACATGAAAAGCCTGCTGAGTCCCCGGGGGCCCACTACACCAGGAGGGGAGTGGAGCAAACAGACCTTTACCTCTTCGTTCTCCTTCCTGCTCTCTGCCTGGAGGGTTATTCCCCTGAAACAGAGCACATCCGGGTGAGCGCTTCCCATGCCTCAGTGACTGAGGCTTATTCACAAACACTGAACTCGGGGGG